ATTTTCAAAGCCGCAACTTAAGGTCTTCCGCTCTTCGGCCAGGCGTACGAGACTAAGAATGCGCTCGGACAGAGAGGAACTATCTCCACCTCAAATAATTAGGCAAAATAGACTAGGTCGTCGTGACTGGCCGCCTCAGTGGCTCTAAATATAAGACGGACCCACTTCATTCTCTTCTTCCTCCGCAATATCATCAATGTAGCTCAGTCGTCTTCTGACCAAATAAAGAGATAAAAGATAGCCTATTTGCAAAAATGGTAATCTCTCAAATACCCTCTTCTGACGACACATTGCTATACATTGCAATTTTGTTAGGTCTTGTGAATTCTTGTGCGAACAGTTTGCCCATCGGAGCAGTTGAAAGGAATTTTTTGCTCTGAAAGATCAAAACCAACAGTCGAAAATGGCTCCGGTAATGTATCTCGGTAATACCTAATTGCAACATGAAAGATGAATGCACTATGGCAACACCTATCGATTTCACATCATGCAAACAGCTGAATGTGCCCACCACATATACAAGCCTGAACAGAACCAATGGAGCGAGTTTGGCCGGTTAAAGCGCAATCAATCCCGGCTGAACCAGAGCATCGGCACGGAACTAATTGGCAAGAACCAACAAACGAGTGTGCCTACTCGAGTGCTGGGTGCTGTCGACTGGTGTGAATGGCATGTGGGTAGGCGGTGAAATGGGACGAACGTGGCTGAGACATACAGACAAGGCCGGAATGACTGAGAGGGACAAAAGACAGACGAGACAAGCAGGCAGGAGAGATGGACTGGAGGGAAAGACACGTGAGAGAAAGAATATAAGACAGGAAAAATAATTTGTGGGAGACAGAAACAAAGAAGATTATGGTTGATTGGAGTCATGAGGACAACCAGATGATCGGATGCAAGATCTATGTGATAGGTGTGAATGGACAGAAGAATGTAGAAGGGAAGAGAGAATAAAATGAAAGACAAAAAAAGAGAATGCATTTAATAGATAGGAAGAAAGAAAAAAATTGACAGATTAATAGCTATAGGGAGAAAAAGAGAAACGTAAGAGGCAGAAAAGGAATGTTAATTTCGTTGTGTAACTCGATGGAGATACTCGGAAAGTGGGTAATGAATATGAAATGTAGTCACAATCTGGTTTAGGCATCCCAGAGAGCTTAGCTATATCAGTAGTTTTAGAAAAAATGTTGTGCACTTACAGATTTGTTTTTTCGCTCTCTCTCTCTTTCTATATATATATATATATTAATTTGTTATACTTTTTTTAAATTTGTCATATATTGCATTCTATCACATGCACACATATTTAACTATATATATCCCAATTTTATTCCAGATTTAGAGCCTAATCCCAGAAAATATTGCACAAATGCGTATCAATAGCAAAACGCCACAACATCCAAAACACAGCTAAGAATCGAAAATCTACACACTTACGAAAACAGGTACTAAGGTCTACAAATAAAAATACTTGTATATAAGTGGTTCGACCTCACTTTCGAAACTTGGTCGTGTTATCAGGGTGACCTAGTTAAAAGCTATTTTGATATAGTAGTAATGATAAATCTTAACGGCGTACAGTACGTTCCTACAGACTCAAAATTTTCATTGGCATCACCAGTGAGTCTTGTGATACTAAACACCGGGCTACTACTCAACAGGACAAGTGAAATCAATCCCCAAACCAACTTTCTGTCGAACGGTTGTGCTAAAATCCCTCGTGCCCTGGTACACCTACGCGCTGTTGAAAACCGCATTCTTATCGGTAGCCAAATATTTCTAGTTTATTTTCGCCTTAATAGCTCCCATCTTCGCCTAATCAACCTAAAGGGTAGCTCTGGATACAATATTCTAGGCTCAAGTGACAACCAGCAGCAAATGTAGAAGGCAGGCCTTTTGTCCTCCTCGTTCGGATTGATGGACGTTTGCTAATCCTTCTGTTAAGCTCAAGACTACTGGCTCAGTACTGGTCGAGGTAGGCTGCGGGGTTTCTGAGCTTATTCAATGCCTATGAGCTCGAAGAGACGCAAAGCTGTGAAGGCTGCCTGGCAAATTCCAAAGTCACAAGGAAAAGCACCCGATCGCTGGATTAGAAGAGGATAAATAAATTATCAGGAAAATAGAGGGTTTCTTGCGAAATTCCCATTAAAGTTATGCAAATTGCAACCATCCAGATTTCGTATGAAGTTACGAGAACAGCTATAGTGACTGTGTGCATTAGGCTGTAGAACAACTTGTCATGATCAAATGCGCTCAGTGATCCAGAAGCTGAGCCTTCCGATTTCAGGATTAAGGGAGGATGAAGAAGAGAGAAAACGCCATACGAACAAGAATGTGCTCCGAAACGAACAAAAGCTAGTTGACAGCTTCACAGTAAACTCTAAAGTTGCTCGAAAATATCGCTTTAAAGGCAAATTCAATGTGAGCTATCAAATAAATCCCAGACCAGAAAGAATTTAGAACAAATCTTGTATGTAGGTGTCACAATCTACATAAATTATACTGGCGATAACTACAAGCGAAAATCTCTAGTTTGCTCTCGAAACTATTTAATTACTTAATTGAAGTCTTCTGAAGATGCTATCAGCCTTCGTATGTTTATTTGGCACCGTAACATGGCTGGTAAACAGGAGAACAATGTGCGACTAAGATGCACTTCTCGCCTCTTCTGCCAGTGGCTCGATGAAACTTGTGAGTTTAACGTTTATTTCCTCCATATAACTCGATTTAGCAATGCATATTCATTCATGGCATTGGGCCAATTCAACGGGATCATGAATTCATCTGACGGAGGCTATGAAGGCATTAAAAAACTCAGCTATACCTCAGCGGAAAGCATAATTCAAGTTGAATCAACACAAAAAGTCGCAATGAATATAACAAAAAGGAGGTTAGCAGATAAAATTACAAATGATCATGGACCCTATGGGGCAAAAATTTCAATTGACAAAGTAATCCTAGTAATGGGCAAATAAAAAAAGCAAGATATGCAGACGGTCATTATAGATGGTTGCGTAAAAGACATTTATTCGAATCAAAGCAAAAATCAACCCCAACTGCTAGAAGTAAATCGAATCAAGGGTTGCATGAAAAATAGATAAAATCGAGTCGAGCAAATTTCAAACGCGGCCCAAGTGTATCGATGTTAAAGCCACTTTGTGATAAACAGAAGCTGCAAATGAAGAATACTGCTTGGCAAACAGGAAGTAGGGACAAAATAGTGAGAGCGAAAGTATACAAATCAAGACCAGCATTTTTAAAAGAGCCTTTTGTCATAGATTGCGAGGACATCAAGAGAATAACGAGAAAAATAGTATTAAATAAATAAGAGAAATTTTAGATAAGCAAATAGGAGTGTATTTCAGTGCGAAAAGGCAGGCATATCATGCCCCGTGAACGCATAGTAGGAACCAGAAATCTTTTTCAGTCGCCAATAAAAAATTTACCAATTCGTCTTGACCGCAAAGGTACATAAAAAGCGCCTGCTATGAGTGATGCCAGTGGACAAATAAGAAGCAAAAAAAAGGAATGGACCAATAAAATAGTATTAGTTCGAGGAAGAAGAGTTGGAAGGCGAGATTAGCTTTTCCTCAGAATCGCCAACTTCCGAATCAGACTCGAGGTTGGCGGGTGCGTCGGAGGCTACAGGGGCGGAAATTGACTGCGAGTCTAGGATAACAGTAACGGGACCGTCGTTAATTAGGTCAATTGCCATCATTGCACCAAAAATACCATCTAAAGATGAGAAACAGAAAAGATATATAGATGTACTCTCAAATAGAAGCAGTTCATTACTGTCATTCCATTCCTGTGATACAATTTTCACTCGATTGGCCACAAATAAATGCAATCCAGTAATATGAGATATATTCTGGCATTTGCGAAGCTTTAAGGTTTACATGTAAATTAGAGGTTGTTTGACCTTGTTTTCGCAACATGGTCATATTGATAGGAATACTTAGAGGAACGCACCTAGCCTGGAGTCCATTGTCTGCATGATCATTACCAAAGTTGGACCGTGGACGTGGTACATTTCCAAACGTTTCGCCGGCGTCGTCAGTGAGTGTCGCCATTCTTAGCACCACACAACGACTCGTCAAATGTAAATTGATTGACCACTTTGGTTTCATCTTTTGTTATTGTTTATTGCTTTGTTATTACATTCGAATAAACTGACCGGGCTGTGTGCTCGTAGAAAAAAATAAATAAAATTTCGGTTATTGCGACTGGATTACATTTTTCGTATCTGAGTAGAGTTTCGAGACTACCAGTTTAAGGTGGTGAAGGACTGGTAGTCAAATTTTCACACATTAATTTTCCCAGTCCTTTATCGCCTTAAACAAAATAGGGTGAATACAACTCATATTACTGATTTACTGGTAGTCTCGAAATTCTACTCAAATAGGAAAAATGTAATCCAGTCGCAGTGACCGAAATTTTATTTATTTTTGCAATTTCTACGAGCACACAGCCCGGTCAGTTCATTCTAATGTAATAACAATTAAGCCTAAAAACTTCGCAGATGCCTTATTGTACAGGGGTTGTCATCCAGGCCACGAGCAATCTTCAGTCATAAAGCAACTTCAATGACGTTAGATGGGAAAGTTATCTTCTAGTAGCAAAAAACAACAAATAATTTCAACAAGATCTAATCTGTTAATATCCTGTCATACAATTGTTCGGTAAATTTTTTAATACCCCTGTATTAAATAGGATTGGCCTCCATCAGAAGAAAACCAAGGAAAAATATTAAATGGACCAACTTTAACTGACTTCGCATAGGACTAATAAGTGATCGACATAATTGAGATGCCAGAGTGATATTTGATAGTCAGTTGATAGTGTAATCCTTTATGAAGCTAGATATAGCCATTGGCTATAACACTAGAAGATACATAAAGCAACTAGTAAGTGATGATACCTCCACAATACTGTATCCCCATAGGCATTCTGACCTAAATGAGAACTTACAGCTTAGAGGGCGTTGGAAAATAGCACAAAGAGCAAAGCAAAGAGCTTAAGAAAAACTGGGTTATCCGCTAACCTTTTATTTTATCCGGGACATAAGAAGCACGTAGAACCTGTAAAAATTCTTTATAAGCGAGTTCAGAAGCGGTTGAACTCATGGCGCGATGAAAATCTAGCTTGTTGCCCTTAAGCTCGCAAAAGAGGGTGAACTGCAATCAAAAGGCGAAAAATAGGTCAATAAAGAAAATAAAGGATGAATGAATTAAGTCAAAAATGGAAAAAAATAACAATACAATGTTGGGGCAAATAATAAAGGACAAAATGATAGCAAGGCTCTGCCTCAACATAGTTTTGCCCACAAATAAATTCAATGGTAGAAAATAGATCATGCCGGATAGTCATTTTGCTTAGGTTAAATTGAAAGAGGGCTTGTTTTTTTTCATGCATTGCAGTAAATCTTTGTAACTAAGGCCGTTTTGGCAAAGGCCTGGTGTGAATTGGCGAATATCGATGAATAAGTTCTAATGACGTATGCTCTAATAGACGAGAATAATAATAATAATAAATTAGTAATGATCGA